AGAGAATGGAGGTTGGGACGGAGGAGATGTGATAGATGATATCAGAAATAAGATAAAGATTAGGAATTACCAATGTAGAGGGGGAGATAGAGAGGCTGGTAGGTTGGGTATTGCGTGGATACCTGCGCATGTAGGTATTGAGGGGAATGAGAGAGCTGACGGAATGGCTAAGGAGGCCACCAGGGGGGATGCGGATTACTGGGTAAAGTTTACGATTAAGGATTTTAAGAGGGTGGTGAGAGAGAGGGGATGGAGAAGGTCGGTAGACAGTCATTTGAGACAGGGGGAGTTTAAAGGAAGACTATACTTTGAATCGAGGTGGAATAATGTAGGAAATGAGTTTCCATGGTTTAGGGTGATGGGGGAGGTTGAAAGGAGTACTTTATGTGCGCTTAATAGATTAAGGGCCAATCACTACAATTTAAATTGGTCGCTTTTTAGAAAATGTATGATAAATGATCCTTACTGTGATAGGTGTGACCGGATTGAAGATATTAACCATGTACTTTGGGTGTGCGAAAAGTATGAGAGAGAGAGAGAGGGTTTTATAAGAAGGATGAGAGGGTGCAATTTAAACGAAGAGTCTGATTTTTTTGAGAATAAGAAAATGGGAGAAGCGAAGCCTTTATGACTAATTGGGGGGTGGTTAAAAAAATGTGGAATAAGATTATAACGAAAGAGGCGGGACATAGTATAAGCATTGATAAGATAGAAGTGTTAAGAGTAGATGGTATGCGAGTTGTGCGGATGCGTGAGTGTGAGGGCGCTGCACGCTGAAAATTGAGCCTCGGTCGAGGCCAAGCGCCCTCTTCTGGTGGAAGAAAATAAAATACATACATACATGCACCATTTGGACGCCGATCGATTGGACGCGTCCCGATTGGACGGTCCCGATTCTACGCGTTCCAATTCGAAGCGGTGCCGATTGGACGCGTTCCAATTCTAAGCAGAGCTTATAGAACCTAACCTAACCAAATTTAACAGTTTCGATTTGGGACGCGTCCAATCGGCACCGCTTCGAATTGGAACGCGTCGAATCGGGACGCGTCCAATCGGTCGGCGTCCAAGTGGGCATCACTCCATGCACTCTATGAGGGCGCCTCGATCGTTTAGGATAGAACCTTAAGAGTACGGACGAAAAAGATGGCGTCGGTTAGGTAGGACGGGTTTTGCCGAGCGCTGATAATTTAGAAGTTTTTTTTGGATTTAAAGTTTTTTTTATTAGTTATATAAGGCACAGAGAAAGGAGTGGAGGAAGGGGTGAAGTTTTGTATAATTAGTTTTGGAATAGGAAGTAGGGAGAGGAGGAACTTGGAGGTTTATCATCTCCCCCGTATACCCACGTGGTAGGCGGGGGATAAAGTTTTTTGTTGTGCGCGACTGGACGCTAAAAAACAAGTGTATAAGTGAGGCGGAGGTGAAGGTAATAATTTTTTGGTGGCCCTAGAGGCGCAGGAAATAGTACGATGGAAGAAACGAAAGTAGATAATATTGAAGATAAAATGGGTGAAAATGAAGAAAAGATGACAAAGGAAGTCTGTGATATAAAAGATATATGCGAGAAAAATGAAAAAGTGTTGGTGGAAGATGTAGAAAAATTGGAGAACTGGGATATGGAATTCCTAAAAGAGGATGAAGAGGAGGTTTTAGCTACATTGGGGCTGTGCAATAAGAAAATTGAGGAAATGGACAGAGAGGAAGTAGAAGATTGTGTGAGTGAGAAAGATAAAGTCTTAGACGAGGAAAACAAGGAAAGAAAATTGACAAAGAGAAATATAGGAGAAAGAAAGAGGGTGAGAGATGTAAGCAGTGAAGAAGAAGAGTTGAGGAAAAAGGAGAAAAAGGAGTCGAAATTAGAGGATAGTGAAGAGGAAAGTGGAATTACAAAGGGGGGAGAAGAATGGCAGAGAGAAGAAAAGAAGGAAATAATGGAAATAGGGAACAGAGGTGAGGAACGGAAACAGTTGGTAAAACTGGAGACGGTGGCGCCGCTGGAAGAAGAGTGTGCGAAAATGGAAATACTGAAAAAGGACGCGGAAATCGTCCATTTTGACGGCGTGGGTAAGAGAAAGCGATAAGATTGCGATAAGTGTGAAGAAATCTTAGAAGAACAGCAGAGAAAAGCTGAAAAGGGTAAAGATATACAGGGAAACAAACCTAGTGTTATAGATTCGAGAATCCTTAATGATAATGAAAAATATAATTTACAGAAGTCTGAAGAAAGAATAGGTGCGAAGAGCACGTGGCGAAACACAGAGTCGAATAGGAAAGGGAACGGAAGTGTGGAGGAAAGAAGGACAGAGCGTGGTGGGATTAGATACGAGGAGGACTTTTGTGGAAAAGAATTTGTGGTAGGCCTTTTTTTAAAAAATAACAGTGTAAGAAAAAGTAAGAAATTGAATATGATGAAAATATATAGGTACGTGCAAGGCACAGGGGCAAAGGTGGAAGGCATTAAAATGATTGGTTTTAGTAGGGCAGAAGTAACCTTTAAGAGAAGAGAAGAAGCAAATAAGGTCATGGAAGAGGGGCAGAAGAGAGAGGGGTATGTTGGAGCTTTCATCCCGGAAAGGATGAGATTTAGAAAAGGCGTCATAAGAGAGTGGCCGGGAACAATGGAGGAGTTGAAGAATGAAGCCATGCCAGGGCAGGGACATTTCGTGCTGGAGAAATTGAGAAGAGGTCCAGTGATAGAGGGAAGAAGGGGAAGACGAGATGATGAAGAGGAGCCACTGTTAATAGTGTTTAAAGGAGACAAGTTGCCTACAACGCTGTTGATTGGGCAGGGACATGTAGGAGTAAAGATATGGCCATATATTGAGAGAGTTAAACAGTGCTATGTGTGTTGGAAGTTTGGTCATACACAGAAGTTCTGTAAATTGAGAAAACCGCTCTGTGGAAGATGTGGGGAAGAAAAACATGGGGTGTGCGAAAAAATTGAGAAATGTGTGAATTGCAAGGGAAATCACGAGGCTTTTGCAAAAAGTTGCTGGGTATACCAGAAAGAATTTGCCATAAAGAAGGTAATGGCGTACAAAAACGTGGCTTTTGAAACTGCAAGGAGCATTGTGGAAAGAGCAGCAGGAATAGAGGGGATAAGAATGGAGGATGATATGGGAGAAGTGAACGAAAGTAGAGATTTCCCGAGGCTGACGAAGAGGAAGGTAATAGAAATGTGGGAAGGAAAAGAGGTCCCAATGTGGGACGAGGTAGAGAATATTAGAAAAGGATTTGCAAACGCTAAGGGTGTCAACCTGAAGGAGAGAGTTAATATGGGAGTGAGAACTGAGGAAGGAAATAATAAGGGGAAGAATTCTGGACTAGGCAATGCGTCTGGATGGGCTGAGGTGGTAAGGAGAGGAGAAAGGAACGAGACGGATAGAGGAGCAAGGTGGGGAGGAAAGAGAGATGAGGGCGAAAGACAAGGAATAGAGGTTAATAACAGTTTCGAGATATTACAGGAGGAAGGGCAAGCGCGAGGTATGGAGGAAGTCGGTGTGAGAGGAGAGGGGGGTATCACTTGCAGAAGAAGGATACCGTTCCCGCATGATCTAGTGGGTGAGGAACCGGAAGGAAAAGCGGAATACGATGAATATAAAATTGTAACAGATGTATGGAGACGAGAGAGGGAAAGGAAGGCTATTAGGGAGGCAAAGAAAATGGCCATGCAAGAAATTGAGGCAATGAAAAAGAAAGCGGATGATGAGCTAATTGAGGAATTGGTTAAGCTTGTGGAGGAAAGAGGACTAAAAGTGACCTTTGCTGAAGAAGTAAAGGCAAGAAAATACAGGGCTAGTAAAGAAGTAGCTCCAGATCCGGATGAGGACTGGAATGAGATAAGAACTCCGAATTTTTTAATGTATATAGACCCAAAGACTGAGGAAAGAACTAGAAGGAAGATCGCGAGAGAGAAGAAGAAGGCAGAGGAGAAAAGGCTGGAACAAGAGAAATATGAGGAGATGGTGAGGAAATACTTGTTTGGTAAAGGAGAGAAGAAGGAAGAGGTTCAGAAGGAGAAGGAGGAGGAAGAGGAAGAGTCAAGAAAGGGTAATGGTAACATAAATGTTCCAGACAATGTGAAATATATGAGTAGGGAAGAATGGGAAGGGGAAGAAAGAGAGAGGTCAAGAAAGGAGGAAAAAGAGAAGCTATGGAAAGGATATGAAGAGGTGGCGAGGAAATTTGTGAACATATAAATAAACAGTGTGGTTAGAGAGCTATAATAAAACTCAAAGTGTAAGTGTAAGTGATAAGAAAGAGAAAAGAGAGAGATATGTGGAATAGACTTTGTTTTAGAGACATTAAGGGTATGAAAATAGTATTGGTATGTGTGTGGTATTATGGAAATGTTCAGTGGATGATAAAGTGTTTTGTAAACGCTAATGCGAAACGAAATGAATCAGATATGGTAGAGGTATTATTTTTGAGAGAATTAGAAATGTATGTGATTGTTGCGATGGTGGGAAGTATGAGGAGTATGAAATGTTTGATGTTGGATTGTTTAAATAAGATATGAGGATAGCGCTTTGGAATGCTAGGAGTGTGAGGAATAAAATAGATGAAGTTAGGAGGGTGGGAGAGGATTATGATATGATGGCAATTGTCGAAAGTTGGCTGTGTCCTGAAGACTGTCTTAGGATAAATGGATGGCAGTCCTTTAGAAGGGATTCAGGGGGAGAATTGAGAGGAGGGGGTATAATTGTGCTGATTAGGGATGGTATAGAGGCTAGGATTGGGGGTAGTAATAGTATAAACGAAGGTGGGATGGAAACCATGTCTGTGATGGTTAGGATGAAAGAAGGAGAAGTGGAATTTGTGATAGGGTATAGAAGACCATCTGGCAGAGGGGATAAGGGGATATGGAGGAAGGTTTTTGGGAGAGGGATAATAGGAGAGAGAAGAGTGTTTCTTGGGGATTGGAATGCAAAGAATATGGTGTGGAATTATGAGGAAAATGATGTGGCTGGAGAAGCTTTGGAGGAGGTGTTAGAAGAAAATGAGTTAGTGGTTCTGAATTACGGGACAATGTCAAGGATTGGCAGGGCGGATCAGAGACCGTCAAATTTAGATTTGATAATTGCGAATGGGAATATAGGGATGAAAATGGAAATTGTTGAAACAGGGGAGACCATGGGGTCAGACCATCAACTAATAAAGATAGAATGGGAAGAGGAAACAATGGAGATGGGGGAGGAGAAAAGTACGAGAAGGTTCAGTAGTAGGAAAATTGATCAAGTTGAATTTTTGAAATGGCTTTTGGGGACAGAAGACCAAGTGAATAGGATAATTGGAGGGGAGATGAATATAGACCAAAAATGTGACAGCTTTACAAAACTGTTGCAAGAAGGGTTACAGGAATGTGTAAAGGGGCGGAGAGGAGACGAAAACAGAAGAAGAAATGAGGAGAATGGAAGGAAAAGGGGGGGAAAGAATAGGAAAGAAAGAAGAAAGATTTGGTGGGATGCGGAATGTGAGAGAGTAAAAGAGGAGAGAAGAAAGGCTACGATAATGATGAGGAAGAAGCCAAATGAGGTAAATTGGAACAGAATGATAGAGGCAAATAAAAGAATGGAGGAAGTAGTAAAAGCTAAGAAAAAAGAATCCTGGGAGGAGTTTATAAAGGGAATTAGGCATAGTACTAATATAGGAATCTTATGGAAAAGGGTAAAGGCTCTGTTAAAGTGTATTGATAGGTCGGGTGGTGATGGAATGAACAAGAGTGAGAGGGTTAAATTAGAAAGTGAGGAGACTGATAGGATTATTAGGATGTGTGGAGTGGATGGAGAAGAAGATATTATAGTAACACAGGAGGATAGGGATGGAACGGAGAGAGAGAGGATAGAGGTAAGGGAAAAGAATATTAGAAATAGGATAGGGAGTGATATGGAGGGGAGATACAGTAGAGAGTTTAGTGAGGGTGAGTTGGAAAGGGCAATTAGGGTCGTGAAATTGAAAACAGCCCCAGGAGAGGATGGGATTGAGTTTGGAATTATTAAAAAATTGACTAAAGGATGGAGAAAGAATCTATTAGAGTTGTTTAATGAGGTGTGGAGGAATGGAAGGGTACCGACAAGATGGAAGGAAACAAGGGTTAAATTATGGAAAAAATGGTTAATGAAAGGCTGAGAGATTGGGCTGAGAGGGCGGGTAAATTAGATAAAAATCAGAATGGGTTTAGGAAAGGAAGATCCACTATGGATAATATTAATATTTTAACGTGTAATATTAAGGAGGAATGGGGGAAAGGGAAAGAGGTGGTAGCTGCTTTTATTGATGTAAAAGCAGCATATGACATGGTAAATCATAGAAGATTAGGGGAATATCTAGAAGAAATGGAGTGTCCGGGGAGGATGAGAGGGTATTTAAGAGATTGGATTAGTGATAGAGAAGTAAATTTTATGAGATATGATGGGGGGAGTAAAGCAATGAAACTGAGGAGATGCTTGCCTCAAGAGTCGGTCTTAAGTCCATTGCTATATAATTTGTATACTACAGGAATTGTTGTAGGAATAAGGGAGTTGGGAGCTAAGATCCTACAGTATGCGGACGACATAGTGGTATATGTGGAGTATGATATAAGAGAGGAGGGGGTAGAGAAGTTGGAAAAGGCTATAAAGATCTTATGTGGTAATTTGGGGAGAAGGGGGTTGAAAGTAGCGGAGGAAAAAACCCAGATTGTAACCTTTTGCAAGGGCACAAGGAGAGAATGGGTGGACGGAGGAAGAATTAATGTTAATGGAGTGATAGTGGAGGAATGTAGTAGTGCAAAATTTCTAGGAATTATATTGGACTGTGAGTTAAATTTTAGGGAACATACTAAGTATGTGACGGAAAGGGTTAAAATGAGGTTGAATTTGTTAAGATGCTTGGGGGGTGTGAGGAAGGGAGCTTGTCCCTTGACTCTATTGAGGGTTTTTAAGGCATTGGTTAGATCTGTGATAGAATATGGTGCTCATTTGTTTTTGGAGGAAGGTAGGAATAGAGATAAAATACAAAAGGTACACAATGCGGGTATCAGAATTGCTATGGGATATAGGATGTCCACTCCTATTAATGTCATGGAAGTGGTGGAGGCGGGTATTATGAAAATGGAGATGAATTGCTATGGGATATAGGATGTCCACTCCTATTAATGTCATGGAAGTGGAGGCGGGTATTATGAAAATGGAGATGAGAGTGGATATGTTAGCAGAAAAGTATGTTCTTAGGAAGTATTTTAGGGATGATAGAGAGGTGTGTGCGACGGTGGAAGGGATGATAAATTTTGGGATGGGGGAGAATAGTCTAAGTAGAAAAGGAATTTTGAGGAATGCATGGAACAATACAGTAATGATGAGAGAAGGTATGGAAAAAATGTTTATTTCTAAAGAAAGATGTTCATGGGATTGTGATTGGATGGAGAAATGGTGTGAGGTGGAGAAAGGGGAAATGATGAAAAGTGAAGGGGTACCGGAAAACATTGGGTTAGGAGAAATAAAAAGTAAATGGTTTGAGGATGAGAGAGAGGTAATAGAGATATATACTGATGGATCAAAGATGGAGGATAGAGAGCTTGGAGGGGCGGCAGTCGTGATTAAAAGGGGAAGTGAGGAATGGGAGGATTTTGGTTTTACTACAAGAGGGAGCTGCTCGATTTTCACGATTGAGGCTTTTGCAATATGCATGGCTTTAAGAGTGATAGACGAGTACGAGAAGGAGAGTAATGTGGTGATATTTTCGGATTCATTGAGTGTGATAATGAAAGTGAAGAATGTCACGAATGGAGAGGAGGAGGGTGAAGTGATAGGAGAGATTAGAGAGAGATTGTGGAAAAGGAATGAGAAGAATAATGAGGGGGAGATAGGAAAGGTATGTCTGGCCTGGATCCCTGCTCATATTGGAATAAAGGGAAATGAAAGGGCTGATAGGATTGCGAAGGCATGTACGATAGGAGAGGCGGATGGAGATATGAA